TAGGAGTAGTAGTAGTAGTAGTAGCAGTGGTGGTGGTAGTGGTAGTGGTAGTCGTCGTAGTCGGAGTAGTCATAGTTAGTCGTAGTAGTCGTAAGCAGTAGTAGTTGCAATAGTAGTCGTAGTCGTATCCAGACAGTAGTAGGGATTAGTAGTAGTAGTAGTAGTAGTAGTAGTAGTATTAGTACTGGTAGTCAGTAGTAGTAGTAGTAGTAGTCGTAGTCGTAGTAGTAAGTAGTAGTAGTAGTAGTAGTAGTAGTAGTAGTAGTAGTAGTAGTAGTAGTAGTAGTAGTAGTAGTAGTAGTAGTAGTAGTAGTAGTATAGTGGTAGTAGTAGTAGTAGTAGTAGTAGTAGTAGTAGTAGTAGTAGTAGTAGTAGTAGTAGTAATAGTAGTAGTAGTAAGTTAGTAGTAGTAGTAGTAGTAGTAGTAGTAGTAGTAGTAGTAGTAGTAGTAGTAGTAGTAGTAGTAGTAGTAGTAGTAGTAGTAGTAGTAGTTAGTAGTAGTAGCAGTTAGTAGTAGTAGTAGTAGTAGTAGTAGCAGCAGCAGTAGTAGTAGTAGTAGTAGTTGTGGTATAGCAGTAGTAGTAGCAGTAGTAGTAGTAGCAGTAGTAGTAGTAGTAGTAGGCAACAGGAGCTCCTGTGATCCATTCTTGCTTGACTTGAATGAGCTTGATTGATTGTCATGATTCATGATTGCTCTGCTTGAGTGCCAGTCGGAGGTCGCCTTACCTGAGGAGTCAACCCCTGCCCCATCATCTGGGTTGCTCCCCACACCATTGGCCGGGTGTGAGGCGTTCGGCTTTGCCTTGAGGCCAACCTACCCCACGGGAGGGGGGTAGATGACAGCCGGGCATATGGGCTAATGCGCCGTGCTGGGGCAAAACTGGTTTTGCTGGTTTGGCCAGGCCAGACTCCAGACAGTCCGAACAAGACAGGGAGGCCGCTCGTTCTTGTGACATGACATGGCTGTGTTGACTATTGGCATTTGGAATGGTTGGACCATGAGCGGATCACAGTCTCAGAGGCTCCTGTTGGCTAGTAGTAGTAGTAGCAGTAACAGTAGTAGTAGTTAGTAGTAGTAGTAGTAGTAGTAGTAGTAGTAGTAGTAGTAGTAGTAGTAGTAGTAGTAGTAGTAGTAGTAGTAGTAGTAGTAGTAGTAGTCTTAGTAGCTACTACTACTACTACTACTACGACTTACTACTACTATTACTACTACTACTACTACTACTACTGCTACTACTAAGACCACTACTACTACTAGGACTAAGAGCGTTTTGTTTGGCGCTTAGCTTGTGTGTTCTGTTCGTCTGCGAGCCGTGGTGAACCAGATTCCATTGTCCATTTGGCCTTTGCCGGCTTGTTTTGGAGCAGATTTTGAGCATGGTCTCTTGTGTGCACAAGCTAAGCTGCTCAAAACCTGCTCTCTGTGGGTGTCGGCGGGGGACCAGCTTCCGCGAGCAGTTTTGGAGCATGTTCAATATTACAAGAAAGCAAAGCTGCTCAAAACTTGCTGTGCTTAGTTCTGTTCGCCCGCGAACCAGATTCCAGTGTCTGCTTTGCCTTTAACGGCTTGTTTTGGAGCAGCTTTTGAGCATGGTTTCTTTAGTGCACAAGCTAGCCTGCTCAAAATCTGCTCTGTGTGGGTGTCGGAGGCTCCGCGAGCAGTTTTGGAGCATGTTCAGTATTACAAGAAATCAAAGCTGCTCAAATGTTGCTCTGCTTGGTGCTCGTGCCTTTTGTGGCTGGTTTTGGAGCAGGTTTTGAGCATGGTTTCTTTGGTGCACAAGCTAGCCTGCTCAAAACCTGCTCTGTGTGGGTGTCGGGGGTGGGGAGCAGCCTCCGCGAGCAATTTTGGAGCATCTTCAAAACTACAAGAAAGCAAAGCTGCTCAAATGTTGCTTTGCTTGGGGTTCTGTTCGCGAGCCGTGGTGCACCAAATTCCAGTGTTTACTTTAGCTTTGGCGGCTTGTCTTGGAGCAGCTTTTGAGCATGGTCTCTTGTGTGCAGAAGCTAGCCTGCTCAAAGCCTGCTCTCTGTGGGTGTCGGCGGGGGGACCAGCTTCCACGAGCAGTTTTGGAGCATGTTCAATATTACAAGAAAGCAAAGCTGCTCAAAACTTGCTGTGCTTGGGGTTCTGTTCGCGAGCCGTGGTGCACCAGATTCCAGTGTCTACTTTGCCTTCGGCGGCTGGCTTTGGAGCAGCGTTTGAGCATGGTTTCTTTGGTGCACAAGCTAGCCTGCTCAAAACCTGCTCTGTGTGGATGTCGGGGGTGGGGACCAGCCTCCGCGAGCAGTTTCGGAGCAGGTTCAATATTAAAAGAAAGCAAGGCTGCTCAAATGTTGCTCTGCTGGTTCCAGTGTGTACTTTGCCAGCTTGTTTTGGAGCAGGTTTTGAGCATGTTTTCTTTGGTGTGGAAGCTAGCCTGCTCAAAACCTGCTCTGTGTGGGTGTTGGGGGGTGGGGAGCCGCCTCCGCGAGCAGTTTTGGAGCCTGTCCAATATTAGAGAGAAGCACAGTTGCTCAAATGTTGCTCTGCTTAGGGTTCTGTTCGCGAGCCGTGGAGCAACAGATTCCAGTGTCTACTTTGCCTTTGGCGGCTGGTTTTGGAGCAGCTTTTGAGCATGGTTTTTTCGGTGCACAAGCTTGCCTGCTCAAAACCTGCTCTCTGTGGGTGTCGGTGGTGGGGCGCAGCCTCCGCGAGCAGTTTTGGAGCATGTTCAATATTACAATAAAGCAAAGCTGCTCAACTGTTGCTCTGCTTGGGGTTCTGTTCGCGAGCCGTGGTGCACCAAATTCCAGTGTTTACTTGAGCTTTGGCGGCTTGTCTTGGAGCAGATTTTGAGCATGGTCTCTTGTGTGCAGAAGCTAGCCTGCTCAAAACCTGCTCTGTGTGGGTGTTGGGGGGTGGGGAGCCGCCTCCGCGAGCAGTTTTGGAGCATGTCCAATATTAGAGAGAAGCACAGTTGCTCAAATGTTGCTCTGCTTAGGGTTCTGTTCGCGAGCCGTGGTGCACCAGATTCCAGTGTCTACTTTGCCTTCGGCGGCTGGTTTTGGAGCAGCGTTTGAGCATGGTTTCTTTGGTGCACAAGCTAGCCTGCTCAAAACCTGCTCTGTGTGGGTGTCGGGGGTGGGGACCAGCCTCCGCGAGCAGTTTCGGAGCAGGTTCAATATTAAAAGAAAGCAAGGCTGCTCAAATGTTGCTCTGCTGGTTCCAGTGTGTACTTTGCCAGCTTGTTTTGGAGCAGGTTTTGAGCATGTTTTCTTTGGTGCGGAAGCTAGCCTGCTCAAAACCTGCTCTGTGGGTGTTGGGGGGTGGGGAGCCGCCTCCGCGAGCAGTTTTGGAGCATGTCCAAAATTAAAAGAAAGCACAGCTGCTCAAATGTTGCTCTGCTTGGGGTTCTGTTCGCGAGCCGTGGTGCACCAAATTTCAGTGTCTACTTTGCCTTTGGCGGCTGCTTTTGGAGCAGCTTTTGAGCATCGTTTTCTTTGGTGCAGAAGCTAGCCTGCTCAAAACCTGCTCTGTGTGTGGGGGTTGTGGGGTGGGGAGCAGCCTCCGCGAGCAGTTTTGGAGCATGTTCAAAACTACAAGAAGGCAAAGCTGCTCAAATGTTGCTCTGCTTGGGGTTCTATTCCGTGCCGGTTTGTTTTGGTCTCGGGTGGGAAGCCGCCTCCGCGAGCAGTTTTGGAGCATGTCCAATTTTAGAAGAGAGCAGAGCTGCTCAAATGTTGCTTTGCTTGGGGTTCTGTGTCTACTTTGCCTTTGGCGGCTGGTTTTGGAGCAGCTTTTGAGCATGGTTTCTTTAGTGCAGAAGCTAGCCTGCTCTCTGTGTGGGTGTCGGGCGTGAGGAGCAGCCTGTAGTAGTAGTAGTAGTAGTAGTAGTAGTAGTAGTAGTAGTAGTAGTAGTAGTAGTAGTAGTAGTAAGTAGTAGTCGTAGTAGTAGTAGTAGTAAGTAGTAGTAGTAGTAGTAGTAGTAGTAGTAGTAGTAGTAGTAGTAGTAGTAGTAGTAGTAGTAGTAGTAGTTCGTATTAGCAGTAGTAGTGGTAGTAGTAGTGTAAGTAGTAGTAGTAGTAGTAGTAGTAGTAGTAGTAGTAGTAGTAGTAGTAGTAGTAGTAGTAGTAGTAGTAGTAGTCGTAGTATAGTAGTAGTAGTAGTAGTAGTAGTAGTAGTAGTAGTAGTAGTAGTAGTAGTAGTAGTAGTAGTAGTAGTAGTAGTAGTAGTAGTAGTAGTAGTAGTAGTAGTAGTAGTAGTAGTAGTATTGTAGTAGTAGTAGTAGTAGTAGTAGTAGTAGTAGTAGTAGTAGTAGTAGTAGTAGTAGTAGTAGTAGTAGTAGTAGTAGTAGTAGTAGTAGTAGTAGTAGTCGTAGTAGTAGTAATAGTAGTAGTAAAACAAACTAGTAGTAGTAGTAGTAGTAGAGAAAGTAGTCGTAGTAGTAGTAGTAGTGGTTAGTTAGTAGTAGTAGTAGTAGTAGTAGTAGTAGTAGTAGTAGTAGTAGTAGTAGTAGTAGTAGTAGTACTAGTAGTAGTTTTAGTAGTAGTAGTAGTAGTAGTAGTAGTAGTAGTAGTAGTAGTAGTAGTAGTAGTAGTACACGAACTGACCCTTGCGTGTTTTATTATTAGTCATTATGACTATAAAACACGTCATTGGTGCTGAGTCTAAAGTTAAGTAGCTCTTGCACAACTGCACTGCGTTCCACACAGTTGACTAGTACTACTTTTACCACTTACTACTACTACTACTACTACTACTACTACTACTACTACTACTACTACTACTACTACTACTACTACTACTACTACTACTACTACTACTACTGACTATTACTACTACTACTACTACAACAACTACTACTAGTCATCATCGTGTAATAATATTGTCGTACTCGTTGTTCGTACGTAGCGTACTAATTCTACTAAATATCCAGCAGGAGAACGCCACATTGCCACAGCTTCGCGGCATAGTGCGTTGTTACGCGCACTCGGCGCAGAAGACTTTGGAGAACTCCATGAAAGCAGTGCCTGAGATCTCTGCCCTCGTCGAGGCCCTCGTCACTCGTTTCGCAGGGACCAAGGACCGCGGAAGCTTGGCCCGCGCATTGTCGAACTCGGCGAAATTGCGTTCAGCCTTCTCTGCGGAAATCATGAAGGATTTGAACGTGATCCAGGAGTTGTGCGGGGCCTCGACTTCGTCCGCGGCCGCGTCCTCGTCTTGGTCCTTCGCCGCGCAGAGATGGGACAGCATGTTGCAGGTTCTGTGCCTGTGCAGCATGCGGATTTCTGAGATCCTTGACTTTCTCTGCAAAACTGCTCGCAGCAAGCTCGACAAGGAGAATGCTGCCTGGGCGAAGCGCGACTTGCCAGATAGTAATCTTGTTTCTGTGTGACTCGAGGTCGAGGGCAGTAGTCTAACATTCAACTACTTAGTTCAGGCATGCTGGACTTCTTCACCTTGGAGAACATCGTGCACATGGCCCTCGTCACTGAGTTCCTGGAGGCCTGCAAGCCATATGTCCACAAGATGGACAACAAGGGCGGGAGCGTGAAGTCCAGCTCAGCTTCGCGGCAGTGCTCCCGGCCCTCGAGGATCAGCCAGCATGGTATGGCTGCAGCCAGTCTTCGAGACAAGTTGGCACAGCTGTTCTCGTTTCAGTACAAGGGTCAGCCACACCGTCCTCTCGTCCTCGATGCCCGCTTCACAGCTGGGTACTTGCAGATTGTGACAGCCGCCCTCGGCCTAGGCTTGGGGGTTGAAACTGCTTTTAAAATAAAAGTCACGGCTGCGTCCATCTTGTTGTCGCCGTGGCAGGCAAGCGAACCTTCTCCGTCATCGAGAGCGGAGAACTGGTTTATCGTCTTCCAGGCAGGGTGTGCGCAACATTAAAAGGTGAAGACAGTCCGCTGCTTGCCTTGCTGCGACATTTCATGTCATAACTTCCTTTGCGAGGTGAGGGCGTGGACATGGACAAAATTACAGCAAAGTGCCTGGGGCCAGTCTGGTGTGCAAGAGATCTATTCTTGGAAGGCGTAATGACTGAGAACGAAAGTGCCCTCGCTTCTTCGTTCTCCGCCTTCGACCTCGCCTATTGGCAGAGCCAGCATCGAGATGACGAAGCCCTGTGGCCTGGGCTTTTATTACATTAAATCGCATTGAAGCAGCAGAGTGTCACTGCCATTATTGACTCAGCAGCTTTCTTGAAATCTGGGTGAGGCCTGTTGTCTTGAAGCCCTTGGCAGATGCCCTCGCCCTCGATGCACAGAAGTTATCCGATGATATGGTTGTGGCCCGACCTACCGTCCGCGCCCTCTTGAAGTTCTGGTCTCAGTACATGGATCCCGCATGGTAGTTTTCAGCTACTGACACACTGTGTCGTCTCATTGGTCATACTGAGGCAGGGAGTGGTTGACCCCGAGGTCTACTGGGGACAAGTAGTCATGCACTGGGGCAAGAAGCGGCTCCCTGCCCTCGCCCTCGCCGCCACTCAGCGGCTAATTATTATTCATCCTGCATGAGCGAAGTTGCCGTGAAATTTCATGCTTACGCTGTCTGCCCCCTGAGGTGAGCTTCTTGCTGTCCGTTTGGGAGAGTACGTGCGAAGTGGAGCAAAGCTTTGCAGTGCAGCGCATGTTCAGCTCTGAGCGCAAGGCGAGAACCTCGGACGTCCTCGTCCGCGCCCTCTTGAAGGTCCTCGCAGACGGCCCTCGTGCTGAAGACATCCCCTTCAGACAGTCAGAGGGTGGAGTCTGTGTCTATGAGAACACCCCCTTTGTGCGGAAGGTGCAGCAGGCCTACCGCAGCCTGTATGGAGAGGGCAAGCGTGCCGTGTCAAAGTTGCCCAGGCGTGAGGTTGCAGGGACCCGGGTGCGATCCAAGGGGAGAGCTGCCTTCCTTCGACGCCGAAATAATCAGGCAGAAAGCATCCCCAATGCCACCGCCCTCGAGGATGATGGGGGCAGCACTTCTCTGAAAAAAAAAAAAAAAACGACAGAGAAGTCTCACGACCAAGGCACGAAGCGCAAGGCCTACTGCAGCCTTCTCAGCAGCCTCGCGACCAAGGCAAAGCAGAAGCGCAAGGTCCTCGACGCCCTCCTCCTCGGTCCTGGCAACGACCTCGAGGCACAGGAGAAGCTGAGAATTCAGAGGGAAACCCAGGACCAGGAAGCGCTTCCGCTGGAGCGGGTCGACTTGCAGAAGGCGATCCAGCACAAGCTGTTTCTGCAGCACGAGCTTACAGCCATCGTGTTGTGTGGTGGCCGGCCCTCGTCCTCGCAGGACAAGATCCTGTCGAGGCTGAAGGCGAAGCTCTTCCTGTTCGAGGCTTCCAATGCCAAGGGTCTGCTGCGGCAGCTGTCGCCCAAGTACAAGTACGTTATTTGGGTAGCATCAACGGCAGATGCTGAGACGGCGTTGATCCAGGGCAAGGCCAAGCACAACATCAGCATGACCGAGGTCGTCATGACCCGTTTGCTGGGAGGATACTTGGCTGGGCCCGAGTGGATGGCAGCTTGTTTTGACACAGACCACCAGCTGGTAATGCCAGTCCTCTCCCTAGACCCCGCCCTCGAACGAAGCATGGAACTCGTCCTCGGTGACAGCGTGACCTACAAGAGCGACGCCTTGCTGGTGATCTCCTTGGCCAGCTGTGCGAACCGCTGGACAGTACGGGCGAAGAGATCTGAACTGTGCCTTGGCACAGCTTGTTGCCGTGCAAGCCATGATTAAAGGACGCTTGTTTAAATACTGACCAGGAGGAAGAAGCGTTCCTGGGTGGTCGTCGGCGACACGCACAAGGTCTCGGTTGCGTTCAAGAACAAGGGAGTCGTGGTGACTGAGTCCAACTTCCTGGTGCACTTGAGCAAGCCGCTCTGATTCAATTGTGATGACATTCAGTGAGGTCACAAAACAAAACAAATTCAGTTTAGGGCCTTTCGTCTACGGTTTTCATGTCGGCAGGCAAATGTGCATTTGACCTTCCAAGGTGGTCTACGCTCCCAGTCATCACGTGACGCCCTCGCCAAGGAGTGGTGTCAGGACGCCCTCGCCCAGGACTGGTGTCAGTGCTGCCACTCGTACTTACTCTATTAAAATCATCAGAGCAAGCTTGACATGCGCGACATTGTCAGCCATGCAGAACGTGTGGTGGGGTGCTCGTCGGCGACTACCCCAAGGCAAGGCCAACCTGCTTTACGCAGAAAGCATCCAGGAGGACCTTGCCGTGGTTTCATGATTGTCAGTCTAAGGTGCTCCGCCTTCCAAGGTGGTGTACAGTCAGTCCCAGTGTTCCCATGACAACGACACTGCCAGGTGCTCGTGAAATCAACAAATTCGTCAGATGGTTGATGGGCCGACATCTTTGCCATTTGCGGCCTGGATTCTTACAGTGAAGAAGGCGGGTTGGTGCGACGTTTCTAATAGTGGGCTGAGTCAGAGTCCATGATGCATGAACAAGCAGGGTCATGTGATCCAATCATGGAAGTTTCCCCGATTCATTCTCCTTGTGAAGGTCCGTAACAGCACTGCATATGCATGGTGCATGGGCTTCCAATGTGGTCCAAAATGCTCCTGGTCCTGGCAGGATGCCCTCGCCACTCCTGGTCCTGGCAGGATGCCCTCGCCACCGGTAGACAATGAACAGCACAGAGCCTGGGCCACTGAAGTTATAAAGTATGATAATTTTCAACATGATGCGACACAGCTACTTATTTCAAGCCAAGGCAGACATTGTGTAACATTATGTTTTAAATATTTGGCTGGAAGCTGTGACATCTCATTTCTGCGGTCCAAAAACCCGGACCCAGCACGACATCGGGTGTTGTGTGGCCAGTAGTGCCAGGCAGCGCGAGGAAAATCTGTGTGCGTGCATGTGTGTCTGTGTCTGTGTGTGTGTGTGTGTGTCTGTGTCTGTGACTGACAGGCACTGGAGGTGAAGTTAGGGAGAGCTGTGAGCCAGAGAGTATCGTTTCATACATCCGATCCTTGGCTGTTGTGTTCTTGCAGGTTGATGCCGAGAGTTGATGACAGCCGGGGGCCCTGGATTTGTCATTGGAAGCCGTGCAACCCGATTCCATAAAAAAGGATTCGGTTTTCAGAAGTCGATCACAAACGCAACCCTCCAGACCCCCTACATCCTTGCACACATGCCCGGGGCCGGCCTGCAAGGATGTACCCCCCCTGGGGGGTATACATTTATGACTGGGTTTAACATAAAGATTCTAACCCTTCGTTTCCTGAAACCGATCACAAACGCAACCCCCCGGGACCCCTACATCCTTGCACACATGCCCGGGGCCGGCCTGCAAGGATGTACCCCCCCTGGGGGGTTACATTTATGACTGGGTTTTGTCAAATCAGAATCCTTTTTTTTTCGACCCCTAATGTAACGAGCCTCTTTGCCCGTTAAAGACAGTGTTGTGCAGCAGGGCCAAAGGTCTAGCAACGCCAGACTGAGTATCTCTTACTAAATCAGGTCCAAGCCCGCCGCAGCTGCAGTCCTCGTCCTCGCAGGTCTGCTGCTCAGCAACTGTCACTGTCATCCGGATCTCACGTGTCAGCTGGTTTGCATGTGTGGTGCTCGGCATATGCCTTCTTACAACAGCTCAAAGATCCCAGAGCATTTTGCTCAAAGTTGGCCCTGCGGTGCTAGCAGACGGACAGGCGAGCACCATGGGCAAGAAACCGGAGGCAAAGGGCAAGGCCAAGGCGAAAGCCAAGGTCAAAAGCCCTGCCAAACCAAATTCGAAAGAGGCCTCGACCTCGGCGGATCCATCCATGTCAGCCGCCCTCGTCGATGAAAACGGCGAGACAGCCACGCCCCCGCCCCCGTCCCCGGAGACGGTGATCTTGAAGCTTGGTCAGTTCTTAAAGGGAGTCGCTGTCGCAGGCAGCAGATTTGCCACATGTGCCCACAGCAGACTTGCCAGTGCCACATGTGCTTGTTGAGGATCAATGAGGCCGTCACCTTTCTGAAAAGGACGAGACAGTGGGTGCCGTCAGGGAAGAGCTTGGTGGCAGGTGTGGAGTCCTTCCCCAAGAACTGGACAGGAGCAATGGTCGGCAAGGCTCGCGACTGACAGCATAGCGAAGCACAGATCAGTCGCAGTCTTTAAAGTGTAGTAGACTTAGAGCGCTTTGAGTGAGTGACCCGCAGGTGGCCAATTTTTCCGGGTGTTTGGCCGACCTCGATCTCGTCCACGGAGAGTTGCCGCCGGTTCCGGTTCTGATGGACGCCAAAGATTACTGGTGGAGCAAGAGCCGCGTCCTCGCCAGCGGACCCTTGATAGCCTCCACCTTTGCCACGGAGGTTTCCACAAAAGGCACCCTCGTCCTCGCAGAGGACAGTCACAAGATTCTGTCTTTCGTCCTCGCATGGAAGGAGGCGGTCGAGTGTGACAAGGCCAGGATGAGTTTTGTCGTGTGATCAATAACGACTGTGTCACATGTATCAGTATCAGAGCCCTGTCAGGGCTCCGAGTGCTCTTCGAAGTTTGCGGAGCTGGCTGGGATGGTTCACATTGTCGTGACCCGACTGTTTGGCGGCGAGAAGACGATCATTCGGATTATCCAGTCGGGGGAGGTGACCTGACACAACACTAGCCATTTTATGTGTCTGAGTAGTGTTGTTTGCACATTTTCTTGTTGAAGCCGAGAAGCCAAGGACATCCAGAAGAAATGCCTCGAGCAGGGCAACCACCTGCCGTTCAACTATGCAACAAGACTCGCAACACTCAAGGCCGCCCTCGTCGCAGTGGCTTGCATGACATTGATTTTCGAAGTAATCTCTGATCAATGACACCTGTCGTGCATCCCTGTCTGTGTGTTTTAATTTTCGTCAAGGAGCACCAGCCCTCGTCCAACAAAGACATCTTCAATTTGCTGCAAAACAAGATCACAGCGGGCAGCGCAGAATCCACGTTGAACACAGACGATCAGGCCTGTTCCTAAATTATTGTCATAATGGTCATGCTCTCAGAAGTCGGTCTGTCTGTGCCGACAAAGGTGCAAAAGCTGCTGGCGATGTACAAGAAATCCGTGGAAAGCGGGCTGCTGGACCGGTTGCGATCCACACAGGTCGTAAATGGGAAAAGGACATGGTTGTCCTATTGGGCCATAGTGACACGCGTGAGCCCTGGCTGCTAATGGGAGGTCCTTTGCGTTTCTGCTAAGCTTTAGAATAATATTTAATTTAATGGAATTTATTGTCGTGTTCTCATGACAAGCCAAGGTCCTCGTCCTTGAAGCAGACGGCTGAGTTTAAGTACGTCTTTTCGCTGCTCACTCAGGCCCTGAGTTGGGAGGTAGACGCCCTTGGTAGTTCAGTGTCGTCTGCAGAGTTCTGCGTTCCTTGGCAGGAGATGCGACCTGAGTTCGATCTGCCCGGGGATCTGCGTGTGGTGATGCCCTTCACCAACGTCCTCGACCTCAAGAGGGATCAAGCAGCAGAGGCTTCCAAAACACATGATGCTGTCAAGTCAATCAGTAGTTTCTTCTTTGCAGGCGGCCAACGCACTCGTCCTGCGGTTGAAGGTTCTGCGGATGCTCTTGCATGCGGTGAATAGGTCCCCAGTTAGTAGTCTTTTATATTTATTATTATTAAGTCAATGTTAATAATAACTTGAACTATCTACAGTTAGGCTTGCACGGGAACTCAGGTGAAGCAAACCGTGGAGGCAACCAGCGATCCCTTGCAGGTGAAGTTCTACAATGCCTTGCAGACCTGCCAGGATCCCTTTGCCTGGGGCCACCAAGAGTGGAGCATCATCGGGGAGATGTCGTCCTCGTGCTCTGCGCCCTCGTCCTCGTCCTCGTCCTGTGCCTCGATGGTGAAGACGATCAACGCGATCCAAGCAGGGGTCCACGACTCAAGCTTCTTCAAGGCGGTGCAGAGCTCTGCCAGGGAAGAGCATCCCGAAGTCCGGGCTCTGGTGTCAGGCTGCCTGGACAGTTGGCGCATGACCTCGTCCTCGCAGGCCCCAGAGCCGGCAGTCGAGAGCCAGGACGGCGCCGAGGAGGACAGCTACGTCGACGTCACCGCGGAGATGATTCCGACGCTGGCCACGGAGTCGGACTCCGAGAAAAGGAGAAGACTAGCCATCTCCGCGGCCAAGGCTGGCAGGTTAAAGTTAAGTTGCTTTCATTGTAACTGTTCAGTCCAAAATAAAAATGTAGTCCTTATTATATTAAATGATGTCTTGCAGGAGGAGATGGCCTTCTACTTGCAGGCCCTCGTCTTCGACCTCGATCAGCCCTCGTCCAAAAGGGACTTGTGGAGGCACTGTCTGGCAACACTTTCTTGAAAGTGTCAGACGGCGCCAAGAAGACAGGAACGGCCTGGATGTATGACAGCGCTCTTTTTACAGAGCCATCTGGAGTGTATTGCAAGCTCCACAACCCGTACACCAAAATGCCGGTGTGACTTGTATGATTGAGTGTGCTTGGGTTTAGTACCAGTACTAGTTCAGTACTACTACGGCGAATTGCTACTTAGCTACTTCGAACGACACAGTGTTACAAATTTTAAGTTTGCGGACAGGTGTGGCTCAGACAAAGGGGATGGTGACTGATGCTATTCACAGCCAGCGTGAAATTGTATTTGTTGCAGACGGTTAAGTTCATTATTGTATCAGTTGATCACTCACCAAGCCTAGGTTCAACAAGGCGGCCTGGTCGATCTTTGTCGAGTGCTTCGACGCCCTCGCCAACACAGAGGAGCTTAGCAACTCTAAACCATACAGTACAACTCCTAGACCTTATTAAACTCCAGACTCACGCCGCTGGATTCTCACAGTCACAAGTTCACTGTTGGTTTTCAGGACGTCCTCGTCACCTTTGTGCCGGACGACAGCAAGAGGGCGATGACTGAGGTGAGGCGC